TAGATTTCAATGGGAGAATTAAATATATTAGTGTTTAGGGATGAATACCATTCTTGTTAGTTTTCATTTGGGGTTTCACAGAATTTAATGGGAAAACAGTACATAAATAAGCGGACATTAACATGGTACATGTCCATCGATACTGCTGTGATTTATGAATGCTATATTGTTAAAGTGTTATGCAGTGCAGCATTATAGAGAGATGCTGCTAACCAGTTTCCAGAAACTGCATAGTATGAAGAAAGTTTCAATCTTGTTGTGATGTGAACATGATGGCATGATACAATATTGGACCTATGATATGGATATGGTTTACAGATTCCCAGGATAAATATTGACAAAAATCTACTCCACTAGATATTGGCTACCAATGTCTTAACTTTCTATTTGGAAGGGGATGTACAAATGAGTGTTGTTGGGGAATGAATAAATGAACAGAGAATCAGGGCTTCTTGAGAACAGTAGAATAGAACAAAAAAAGCCAAAGGAGATCCTAAAAACCATTTGCAATTAGGAGAGAATGAGAGAGCTCAGATCAGTCACTTATAGATGGAGCTTGGCAACTCCATTATTAGAAGATTATGCTTCCTGTTGGCTGATAGGGACACTTAATAATTCTTACAATTACTCCACTGAGGTGGAAGATTTCTAGATGTGATAAAGCTACGTATTTTTCATCATTTTTTTTATGCTTTTAACCAAAAAGCATCTTTTCATGACTTGACTGCCTTATCCACAAGGTGGAACTGTAATGCTGTGGTGGTTTATTAAATGTCTTAAATGTGAGCTCATTAACAGTAGGAATAAGATCTTGCTTTTCAGTTGTCAGTTAATCGTAGTTGACAATATCAGCATGTAAGATTATATCATAAGGATGTTCATTGCTAACTACTTAAACTACCCATCCCTGTCTTTAATGCTAATTCTGGATCTGATGTCCACTGCTTGTTCAAATGCATAGGTCGGTAGCGGTTAATAATCACATTTCCACATGAAAATAGTTGTGATGAGGAAGTTTCAATTGGTTTACTTTTACTTTTTGTGGTAGTCCTAAATGCTATATAGGCAGTATGAACTTGCAATTTAGTGCAAAATATCATTTTATCTGTTTCATACATGTATTTTGATAAATAGTGGTGTTATGGATTAGACTCTGTAACAAGTAACACCTCATTTATGCAGGGTCTAATGCAGCATCATGAAGAAATAGTAGAGTACTTTAGGACTCGGGGTGTTTCAGCTATATTTCTCTTCCGAAGAAATCTTTTGAGCAGGATGATTTCAGTACTTGCAAACTCTTATGATCGAGATGCTAAGCTATTAAATGGGACCCACAAATCACATGTTCATTCACCCCATGAGGTCTCTCTCTCTCTCACTGTCTCTCTTTTTAGCACTCTACATATGCACAAGGTTTTCAAACTTATAGATAATGGTTTCAGGCTGAGATACTTGCAAAATACAAGCCTTTAATCAATGCAACCCTATTGATGCGCAATCTGAAGCAAGTAGAAGATACACAAGCCAAAGCTTTGGAGTACTTCAAGAGCACTCGGCATATAATCCTTTACTATGAAGATGTACTAAAAAATCGCACTGTAAGCCAAACTGGTTGCTATAGAAAGCTGATGTTTCTCTCATTGTTTTATTGTTCTTTTTATTGAAATGTAAAGTTCCTAAGATATTCAATACCATTTTTTCTTTCAGAAATTGGTTGATGTTCAAGAATTTTTAAAGGTTCCACAGAGAGATTTAAAGAGCCGTCAGGTGAAGATACACAAAGGGGCATTATCCAACTATGTTGAAAACTGGGATGATGTCCGAAAGGCATTAGAAGGAACTAGGTACCAGGGCTTCCTACATGGGGAGTACCGGAAATAGAACACTTGAAGTCATGTACATAGTTGAGGTTTTCTTTTTCCCTCTTCTTTTCTATTCTTTAATAGCAGGAGCCAACAGGAAACCACCCTGTTGAAATTTTGGCTGCGGAATGTGCATTTTCTTACAACTTTGTTTCCCCTTTGTTTTGTCCTCGCAATTAATATTCTATTGATTCTTTTTTCATTCTCATTGTTTTTAAGCTAGCCATTGGTCAAGAGAAAAAAATCATTGTTTCTACATGTATATTGTTTCCACCTATAGTTAGATATTAACCGTCAATCGAAGTTGAAGGATGAGGGATTGTTAGATGCCTCCATTGTTTGCACCATCTTTGTAGGCCATTCAAGACATCTTGACTATTAAAAGTGCTTGGTGTATTAAATGAATGTAGCTTTGGCACCATCAACATCAAGTATGCAGGAACTAGAAGGTGTTTGTAATTGCAGCAGGCTAGCTGTTTTATAGTTGTTATTTATGGCTATATTTTGTTGGCAGGCTGGACCATCTTTTGCTTTGTTGTCTTGTATATGCAGTACATGAAAGCTCCAACCATTAATATTAAGAGGTTTTTGATTAATGGTTAACAGTTTAGCCCTTCTCCAATGGTTAAGGATGGAATATTTTTCCAAGTCAATTTAATGATTGTTAAGAGTTTTTTTTCTTTCTTTTTTTTGGTGACCGGAGTGTCCGAGTTAACTCGTGTGTACCTCAACTAATTTCTCAAGGCCTTGAAATTAATCTCAGGCCACTCCTATTAGTAAGCGAAGAGAATAGAACTCAAGACCTCTTAAATTATATATTTAACAGTTCTTATCCTCTCACCTGATCAGCTAGGGGTGATTTGAGAAGTAAACGATTTTTTCTCATCCAAATAATGGCTTAATGACACTTTTTCACCCACAAACTTTTAAAATATTACTTTACTATTCAAATTTATAATCTATTTCTGATTTCGGCGTCTTTGTGACCCTACACCACTATCATTCTCTTTTGTTGATCATCATGTACCAAGACCCCTCAAACCCTACTCCCTTCGACCCTGTCAATCGTCAGCAGTCGAGCGATTAGGGTTTGCGCAACCTCTCTCTCTCAAGTCAAATTCTGATCACTTTTAACCACGAAAATCCAACCTTCCACCACCTAAAAAACTCATCGACCTCTCTTCCTCAAAAGCCTCAACAGCCTGGACAGAGTTTGCTCTCTATTTGTTGCAAGAATATAAATTGGATTAATAAAATGATATTTTAAAAGTCTTGTAGGTGAAAAAATTTAATTAAGCCAGGGGGGAAAAAGTCTTTAACTCATGGTTTGAGTTAGTAAACTTACTTTGACAATTAATATTATGCTTTATACAAAATCAATTGTAATTTGATTAAATTAATTTGACTGAGATTATTTTCATGTATTAAAAAAGGACTCATAATTATCACGTTTGTACCATATTACAAGTAAATAAATAATTTTAAATTTTATTAATTAAAAATTAATTTCATGTATTACAAGTAATAAATTTTATTACTTTGACAATTAATATTATGCTTTATACAAAATCAATTGTAATTTGATTAAATTAATTTGACTGAGATTATTTTCATGTATTAAAAAAAGACTCATAATTATCACGTTTGTACCATATTACAAGTAAATAAATAATTTTAAATTTCATTAATTAAAAATTAATTTTCTACACCGACACGTCAGGGACTTGTTCAAAGCTCAAAACGGCAGCGTTGACAAGGAACACCACCTAACACCAAGGCATGTAGGCCCCACGCGGCCACACGCCAATACTTTGACCGGACCACTCCAACCTCATCAACTCGTCAAATCTTTCCGATCTAGTAAAGCACCCTCTGCTGCATGACGATAGCCGCACGATTACCATTCACCTAAAACGTACGGTGGAAGATTGCATTTAGACATAGACCCGCGACACACTTTCCCATCTTAATTATATAGGAAGAAATGTTTTTACCGTAGAAAGTGGTAGAATAAATTCATATAATATCCTAATTTTAGGTCTTATCATTGATGTAGATGTAGGAATTTTTTTTTTTTTTTTTTTTTTTTTAAATAAAGATAAGTTGACAAACATTTTTCACGACTTTCTCTTATAAACATTGACGTGATATCTTATAATTATGAACTAACACGTCGTGTTTGCGAAAAAAAGTTAACGAAAAGAGTTTGTGAGTGTAGTATTATTGTTTTTTTTTTGTGGTTGAGGATGTTCGAACAAGTTTACACATATCTCGATTAATCATTCGAGCCTTCAGACTAGTTTACATGCATTTCAATTAATCCCCCCAACCCTCGAGCCAAACTTGCGCTTACTTTGATTAATTCCCTAGGTCTTTATGTTAACAATCAGATAAACCCTCTAATGATCACCCTTATTAGCAACCGAGGAAAACCGAACTTGGGTTCTGATGTTAACGATCGGATAAGCCATCCTTATTAGCAACCGATAGAAATTAAACTTAAGACCTCTTGAGTAATACATTTAAGAATTCATATCGTCTCACCCGACCACTTAAGGGTGGTTAAGATGTATGAAGTTATAAAGGCAATTGCTTTGATTGTGTTTCAAAATTCTCATCAAACTTAATAGATTTAGCAAAATTGAATGGGAATTGACACGTTGATGAAGTAGGAGAAGGGGCATAAGAGTAATGCTACCGCCATCGACGGTAGTGTATCGAATTTGTGCACCGAATAACGTGACAAAATCTTAACCGTTGATTAATATTAAGTTAAAATTAATCAACGGTCAGGATTTTGTCATATTATTCGATGCACTACTGTCGGTAACTGTATTATTTTCCAGGGACATAATATTCAGAAAAAATAAAAATATTCCAGAATTATTTCCTTAAATAAACTCAAATGGTACGAGTCCAAATTTGGTATCTCCAAATATTTTAAGAAATGAAGAATGTCAAACTATTAATATAAGTAAGTTAAAAATAGGCTTAATACGCAGAGGAGGGGATGTTGAATCGGGACCGTACACGTAAGCAAATGGGAGTAGTGATGGACGTGGGAGGATCGTTGTAACCGAGGCCTTAAACCCCAAACCCAAACTCGAGTGTAAAACTCAACCCAGATCCGATCCCACACACAGCCACAGGCCTCAACCTCAGGCTCAGCCCCCCTTTAAAACCTTAATTCTAACTCACTTGTCAACCCTCTCTTCGCGTCTCTCTCTCTCTTTCTCTCTTTCTCTCTTTGTATCTCTTGGTCAGAATAACAGAGCCCAGAACCAAACAAACCCACAAAGTTTAAAGAGAGAAGAGGGAGAGAGTGGAATCTTCTGTCTCATCAAATCAACTCAAATCAAATCACATCACATCAACCAGATCGGCGATGTCAAAGGCCAACGGCGGTGATGCGAACACTGCATCAGGAACAACGGCAGCTACAGCAACAGCTGCCGCCGGAGCACCAACAACCGGTTCGGCGCAACAACAGCAGACTCAGCCTTATCAGTGGGTCCCACCGCAACATCATCAACAACATCCTCAACAATGGATGGGGATGGGTATGATGCAGTATCCGGCGGCGGCGATGGCAATGATGCAACAACAGATGATGATGTACCCGCAACACTACATGGCGGCTTATGGTGGTGGGAATCAGTATTATCAGCAGCAACAACAATATCACCATCAAAATGGGAAGCATAGTAATAATAATAATAATAATAACCATAAACTTAATGGATCTATCAATGCTAGTAATACAAATGATGAGACTAAGACTATTTGGGTCGGTGACTTGTTCCATTGGATGGACGAGACTTATCTTCATACCTGTTTCTCGCACACTGGCCAGGTCAATTTAGTTTCTTTATGAATCTTATATATTATTTATATGCTATTGAATAACGGTTCTTTTTTTGATTTATTGTTACTAATGATATGTTAGGATGATTAGAGAGTTTGGACTAATTGGATCTAGGTTCATTTCAGGCTTTTAAGTCAATAGTGTTGTGGGTTTTAGTTCTTAATTTATTTATTTTTAAGTGTTTATGATTGTTTTTGTTTATCTATGCTGTGGATGGTTGGCTTAAATTGCTTCTATACCGTGGAATGAAGGAAAAACACATGAATTTTAGTATTCCAGTGCGAGCGTAGTAATTTTAGATACACCAGTGGTTGCAATGTAGAATAATTTTTTTATGCTATGGTTTCACCGGATAAGCATATAGCAAACCATAATTGGCAGGTTTGATTATTGTAATTACTTTGATTGAGTAAATTAATCCAACAATCAAGGAATTGGTTGGTTGATTCGTCAGGTGATTACCTTAATCTGACTATTCGACTGCATTTTATGACATCATTCAACCATCGCTGGGTTAGCAAACCTTAGTCCTTTCAGTTTTGTTTTCTTATAGAACGCCCTTGAAATGGAATTCTTCTGTTGGTTTCACCTAGCTTAATGGAGAAAGTCATTTGTCATTGCACATTTAAAAGCTCGGATGGAATGCTTCTCATATCAGGGAAGGATGGTTTTATGGTATGAGAGAGATTATCTTCTGTTGCCTAGTGTAACCCATTCACTCAGTGGGCCTCCAATGAACCTACTAGAAATGGTTCTGGCTCTAGCTGAAAATTAAAAGAAAAAAAAAAAAAAAAGGTTGGTGTAGGTTAGAAATTCAAATTCCCTCAAGGTCATTACCCTAAGATATTGGATTGAAGTTCGCCAACAGTGTGACCTAAATTTACAAGTTTAATATAATGTCCTCAGTCTGAATATTTTGATCTCTCTTGTCCACTTCGTCATAAATCGCGTCTTTTCTTTCTTTTAGCTGAAAGTAAGTTCATGATTTGCACACTCATCATCTTATCATGCATTAGTGTAACATCAATCATATTGCTAGCCTTTGGGCGATTATTTTACAGAAGAGGGATGTTTGATGTTCCCTTTGTCTGTTTAGGTTTACCTAAACAGAGATTAATATTATTTTTCCCATTTCCTGGCTAGACTTTTGCTTTTTGATGTGCAGGTTTCAAATGTTAAAGTTATACGCAACAAGCATACTGGCCTGTCAGAGGGGTATGGATTTGTTGAATTCTTTACACGTGCAGCAGCTGATAAAGTTTTGCAGAGCTATAATGGTTCTGTGATGCCAAACACCGAGCAGCCATTCCGTCTTAATTGGGCAACCTTTGCGGGTGACAGGCGAATAGATTCTGGTTCTGATCTGTCCATATTTGTAGGAGATTTGGCTCCAGATGTTACTGATGCCATGTTGCAGGAGACATTTTCTAGCAAATATCCGTCTGTAAAAGGAGCAAAAGTTATCATTGACTCAAACACGGGCCGTTCAAAAGGTTATGGTTTTGTGAGGTTTGGTGATGAAAATGAGAGATCAAGGGCCATGACTGAAATGAATGGAGTGTATTGTTCAAGTAGGCCCATGCGCATAGATGTTGCAACCCCCAAAAAGGCTTCTGGGTATCAACAACAGTATTCCTCACAAGGTATGCTACAATGCTCCTAGCTCTATAAATGCTTGTTGAACTAGGAGACTTTAATATGGTAGCTTTGAGTTCTTATTAAGTTCTGGTCTAGAGTTGAAATATTTTCAAGTAGCTTCTGTTTTCGTGTTTTATTGTTAGTTGTTTAATTTGGTTGCATTTTGCTTTATGTACTTCTGTATTAATCTAGGTGTTTATGAAAAATTAAATCACTCTTTAACAGTTGTTTTTACGTTGTGATTGGTCATTTGCCTATCTATGGTTTGTCGCTTAAAAGTGTTAACAAAAAATAACCTGTAATTCTGTATGTTATAAATCTTAGGGTTTATCACAGTTCCATTCACGATCGTCTTCTCTTCTGTTAGTTTTACTAAAAATTATTGAATTCCCCTCCCAACCAGGTGAAAGCTCACCAATTTTCAATGAGTAAGCTTAGAATGATTTTGTGCTCACATAAAATTCATTTCTGTGAAAGGATGTTCTCCCATGGTCTTGCACCCGCTGAGCAGTATATTAGTTTCTTTTTATTTTAAGAAAACTGTAATATATCCAACTTTAAGGTCTTGGACTTGGCTTAATGAGTTATTAGCTCCTGTGGGACAGTCAAAGCATGATCATTTTTATGAGCAATGATTTTAACTAGCAAGTCTGTTGCTGCACCGTATAAAAATCTTTCTTCTACGTATTTGCAATAGTGTTGCTTCATGCTTCGTAGCTGGATTTTGTACAAGTAATTCATATTGTACTTCTTCATCCTTCTTTATTTCTTATGAGTTTTATGTTTTGATGCCATTCCTCTCTTGAATTATTGGTTTCTTTGGACAACTTCATTTACTATCATGTTTATTATTGGACAAATGACTGCTAAGCTTGTTATCATAGACAGTTGTAATGCACTCTATGTGAATATTGATTTGATAATTTTTTTTCCCTTTTAATTAGCTCTGGTATTGGCTGGTGGACATGCATCAAATGGTGCTAGGGTCCAGGGTCCTCAATCTGATGGCGAGTCAAATAATGCAACTGTGAGTCCAGTTTTCCTGTCATGTGCTAATCATACTCAAGCCTATATATCTCATTTACCTGATGTATGTTTGTTGCAGATATTTGTGGGGGCTCTTGATTCTGATGTCAGTGATGAGGATCTGAGGGAGCCTTTTTCTCAGTTTGGCGAAATTGTCTCTGTGAAAATACCTGTTGGTAAAGGATGTGGATTTGTTCAATTTGCAAACAGGTACCTCCTTGGTTCACCACTTTGAAGTTATGTCTAGTAGAAGTATAATTGCTATTATTAAGTGAATAATTCTTCATGTGGTTGATTTATTACATTGCCTTCTTGGGAGAATAATTTTATTTGATGTGTTAGTTACTAATGTTGGGAAGATTTATATTTATATTTAATTGTTGGTAAAAATGGTTATATAACTTTTTCATACCAATCTCTTTACAATACTTTGTTGTCTCTGCTAACAGAAAGGATGCTGAGGGTGCATTGCAAAAGTTACAAGGGACAGTTATAGGCAAGCAAACAGTTCGTCTTTCTTGGGGTCGCAATCCTGGGAACAAGCAGGTAAATTTGCTCAAATTAAAGTGCATGTTTATAATTAAGTGATTATCTTCTTTTGCCCTTGCATAAGTCACTTTTCTTCGATTTGAGGTTTGCTCTTGTTTTCTGTTTTCGAATATACATATATAGCATGTTTTCAGTGTTGCATGATGTAATGATACATGCGGATTTGTTGATATAATGATTGCCGTTGCAGTTGCACCCGTCCCACCTTCCTATGTGTTTTGTTATTCCATGGATCCAGATATTTAAGAAGTTCTTGTAGATGCTTCTCTAAAATTAGCTTTTGATTTTTTTTTCCTCAATTGTAACTTGGCTCAAGTATGTCTGACATTATTTTTCACTATTGTGAGAAGAGCTATTAAAGCCTAAAGGGTCTCCCCTTCCCTTCCTTTTTTCCTCCTTTGTTCATTATCAGGTTGTCCTCCTATTTATTTTGTTCTTTTTGAATTATGTGGCTTTTGGCAGTGGAGATCAGATTCTAATAACCACTGGAATAATGGTGCACATTATGGAGGTCACTACTATGGTGGCAACGGATATGCTTTGCCACCTAATCAAGATCCAAGCATGTATGCTGCTGCAACTGCAGTTCCTGGTGCTTCTTAAGAGGGGTATGGGTATTTTCAAAATCATGCACTCTGAACTCGCATGAATGTTCTAAAATGTAGCCTATAAACATGATTAAAGTAGGGTCGATTTAGCTGCCGCGGATGTAGCTAAATCTATAGTTGGCAGAATTTTGTAGCTGGAATATATTTAATATCGTGGAGCTGTGTTTAGGTTTGTATTATTATTTTATGATTTTTGGGGGTCTGCGTGAGAGGGATTCTTAATGAGTGAGAAACTTTATTCAAGTTTATGTGTTCTGAACTAAACTCTCCAGGAAGAATGCATAGAACTACAAAGGTTTTGAATATCTTTAATTTTTTTATTCTTTTCGGAAAACTTTTCGAGGGAATACTAGTGATTAAGATGTCTTGACCATTTGCCCTGGTGTTACTTTATTATATACATTAGATGGATTGCATATTTTTTTTTTGCCGCATAATAGAATTAAATACTGAAGGATCTTTCTTCAAATATGTAGCAGTTTTTGCTTTGTTATTATGAGCACAACATCCCAGAAATAATTGACACTGAAGGATCTATCTTCAAAATGTGTCGTAGGAAAATGTAAAGCAATTTTTCTTCAGTAAAAGCTTGTGTGCTTCATGACCTTAGCAGTGCACTAGATTTTGCTGTATATTTGGTTTCAGTTACTGTATATCACTAGATTTTGCTGTATTAACTTAATCAGCTTATTGAATGGAAGCTTGTTTGATGCCTTTCCCTTTGTTAAAGGAACTTCCAGATGATTAAAAGTGCTTTCAATAAAGAGGCATCCAATGCTCTAGGTTGTTTACAGCTGTAGATGGTGGTGGCTGTTATAACAAGAACAAACAAGTTTAGCTTTTAGATGATAAAGGATAATTGCTTTTACAAGGTTTTGATTTTGAAGATTAGGTTTCTGTCATTTCATTCAAACCATGCACAGGTTTAGCTTTATTTGCATGGACGACAAATCGTCTGCTCTTACGAAATATGGATAATGTGTCGGAGCCCAACTTTCAAGATAAATTACTTGTCGTTTATTCTTTCCAAATGTAAAATTTCTTACCACTCAGGATCTTTGTTCCCATCTATTCACAATAGATTTTAACAACGCCGGTATCTTTGAATTAAAAAATAAAAAAAGAAAAGAAAACAAGAATCTGAAGTTAATGTAAGCTAACCTGCATACCATCAAACTGAATGAAAACAACCATTAGCCTCAGATTTCTTAGAATTTTGAAGGATCTATCGATTGTGATGGTGAATTTGTGACCCATGTTTTTATTTTTCGTTTTTCTAATCGGGAGTGTTCGGATCAGTTTGTGTATATCTCAGTTAATCTTCTGTGGTTTGGAAGTTAACAACTGAGTAAACCTCCCAGTGGTCACCTCTATTAGGGGTTGTGGTGAATTAAACTCAGGACCTCTTAAGAGTCTTAGTTGATCACTTGGCCATCCAGTGATGGTTTGTGATCCACGTTTAGAAATATCACTAGTGCTGTCTTGTCATTTTAGCATCTTTGAATGAGTACCAAAAACAAACAAAAACATACAGCCTATATATAGTTCTTGTCCCGCATTTGTGTCTATGTCAATGGCAAAACTTGTTTCTGGTCTTTGTCCAATTGTCTGTGTTCCGGTCTGAGTGAAAGGCATATTTACTTAAAATAAAGTCATAACAAGCACATCAACATTGTAATCAAGAAAGAACAAGCTGACAAGAATTTACTGTAAGATAGCTCATTGATTTCTTAGTCAATATTTTTGTTGACCAATATGATCCTTTGTTGAGAAAGTTGTCCTTAATTTCTTAGTATAATCTGTGCATTTGATGGCATTTGATGCTACAAGTGCTGCAACAAATATGAAGTTAGCATTCTCTTTGCTGCTGCTTTCGAGCCTGGAGGCCTTTGCAAACTGTGAAAAACATATGAATGATCCTCTTGGAGAATTTATGAAGGCTCAACGAAAAGGGTGGCATGCTGATTATTCAGATGCAACTGTGGAATCGGAGGCAGATTTTTCAAGAGTGTACCTTGGATCGCATGATGGTTTGAAAGAAGCTGATAAAATCGAAGTGCTTCCAGGACAACCCGGTGGAGTTTATTTTGATCAGTACTCAGGCTATGTGACAGTTGATCCAAAGGCTGGCAGAGAGCTCTTCTACTATTTTGCTGAGTCTCAGAATTCTTCTTCCAAGCCTCTTTTATTGTGGCTTAATGGAGGTAATTTCTGTCAAATTGCTGTATGGCAATTCGCTTCTTGATCCCCACCAATTAATAAATGATATGTTCACCGTGCAACACACATTTCTGGCAACGCTGCTTTCATTGTTCCATAGTCGTGTTTATTCATGGTTTCATCCTTTAAATTAGCAGGTCCTGGTTGCTCATCTTTTGGATATGGAGCAATGATGGAACTTGGACCTTTTCGAGTCAACAGTGATGGAAAATCTCTATCCCTTAACAGATATGCATGGAACAATGGTAAATCTCCACATTGAAACCAATGTACTTGTGTTTGCAAAGAACCAACTCACAGTGACTACAATTTTGTTTCAATCTATGGCTATGCAGTGGCAAATATTATCTTCTTGGAATCTCCAGCAGGAGTTGGATTTTCTTATTCAAATACATCAGCCGACTATGATTTGAATGGAGATAAACACACAGCTGAAGATTCGTATACCTTTCTAGTCAATTGGTTCAAAAGGTTTCCCGAGTACAAAGCTAGAGAATTCTTCATTGCAGGAGAGAGCTATGCAGGTCATTATGTGCCTCAGCTTGCTCAAAAGATACTTCAGTTTAACAAGATCACCAACCAAACTTTCATCATCAACTTAAAAGGAATAGCTGTGAGTATTAGCAGCCAAGACATTCTTTATTTAAACATGTTAAAACTCTTGCATTTTGACATGAAATAATGTGATGTCCAGATAGGTAATGCTTGGATTGACGCGGAAACTGGAAACAAAGGAATGTATGATACTTTCTGGACACATGCTCTCATTTCTGATGAAGTGAATAAGGGAATAAACTCCAACTGCAATTTTAGTTCCAACAATAGCTTGTCAGATGAATGTGATTCTTACTTAGATCAAGCACATAAATCTCTAGGCAACATCAACATTTATGACATCTATGCTCCTTTATGCTCTTTATATTCAAACACCTCTACGGTACATTTTTCTATCTGTTGTGCACTTCACTTATCATCTGATATAATGTCTTTTGAGTGTACTGAATTTCTGCTCTTTGCTATTGTAATCAGAAAGTGGCATTAGATCCATGCTCAGAATCATATATCACCTCTTACTTGAACACACCTCAAGTGCAGAAATCACTTCATGCTAATGTTACTGGGATTCCAGGTCCATGGGAGGTTTGCAAGTATATATATACACTTCCTGAACTTGATCATTTCTGTATATTCTGCATTTAGCCATTTTTTTTATTTTATTTTTTTGGTTACCGGGGGTGTCCGGGCCAGCTTACGTGCACCTTTGACTAGTCCCCCGACCTTGAACAAGGCTTTCGAACAGGACAAGTCTTACGGTCCGTGGTTAATAATATTAACAGCTGTTCTTGTGATCTGAACCTGAGAGCACAGGGATGGCAAACCCTTTGGCCCCAAGCTTTACCACTCGGCTAACCCATTGTTGGTTTTTGCATTTGCCATTCATCCTTTGTTTACAGTATTAAGTATTTTTAATGGTGATTCATTTCAGCTATACTGTGCTAATTGATTGGAAAGACAGATCATCAACAGTCTTACCGGCCATTCAGGAGCTGATGACAAATGGGATAAGTGTGTACATCTACAGGTATCATTTTACTTGCTGTCTCAGTTAATTTGTTCAGGAATTTGATAGTTCAACAATAATGATCAATATGTGATCAATTCTTACTCTACATGATGCAGTGGAGATACAGATGGCAGAGTGCCCACCACATCAACCAGGTACTCCATAAACAAACTTGCAGATTCTCCGATGATCCCTTGGTACGCGTGGTACACCCAAGGCGAGGTAAAATAGTGACATTAACTCATCCGAATTATCGCCTTCATTATATTTTCTTAGTTTTCTGATGTTTCGGTAATCCTAACATAATTTTGTTTTTCCTGTAAGGTTGGTGGTTATGCAGTAGGATACAAGAACCTGACATTTGTGACCATAAGAGGTGCTGGACACTTTGTTCCAAGTTATCAACCTGCAAGAGCACTTGCCTTCTTCTCAGCCTTCTTGGATGGAAAGCTTCCATCCCCGCATCAAAACTAGAAAAGCAAAAAAAAAGAGCAATTATGCAGGAGTTTAAAGTTTCATTCCTTTGAAGGCTCCTCTTGTTGATTCATAGTCAAGATTACCCTGCAGTATGCAGTTCATATTCTCAATCCATTCATATATCAGATAATTAGGCAGCCATTGTTTCCCTCTTCTTAAAAACTCAAACATGGAAACCCAAAAAAGAAACAACCTTTACAATCCCGAACACGAAGACTAAGCCACAGTATTATTCCTGTCCAAATTTATGCCAAAACTTGGTGGAGCTTAGATGGTTCTATGAATCATCATCATATTCACAGGTCGTTTCAAAATGATAAAAGTCTTTGAAAATTAATTCTGTCTTTGTCCATTTCTACCACTATACCAGCTGCTGCTTCTACATATGGATTTTGATTTCTGTCAACCTATGTCTTTCTTTTAAGGCTCGGATTTATTTCTTAGGCTTTACGCAAACTTTTTTGTTCTAAATCTCGTATACAAGACCAAGTCTTATAAACTAAATCTTAAACTGACTTAATAATCAGCGGTGTGAGTTGTGATATGAACAACCCATCTTGAATTTTTATTTTTTATAATCGAGGGTGTTCAGGTCAGTTAATGCGTACCTTAACTAGTTTTTGAGACCCTGAAACTACCAGTTAGATAAGAGTTCTAGTGGCTATCCCTATTAGCATCTGAGGAAGGACTCGAACTCAGAACCTCTTGAGTAATATACCCAAAAATCTCTATCGAATCACTTGACCATCCAAAGATAGTTGACTCATCTTAAATTAAAGAAGATGCAATATTCACATGTATAATCGGATTTTTTTTAATTCAAAAATATGTTTTAAGGTCAAATTTGACGATTGAGAAATTTAGATTATGTTAAATATTATAAATATACTCACTAAGCATCATCAATGGCCATTGAAAATCCAATGATTTAGTTAATTAATAAAACAAATCCCACTTGGATTCTCTAAAGTCAAATATATTTATGAACAGGAAGTTGCAGGTAAATATTTTTTATTATGAAATAATCTGGGAAAATTATTATGTTCAATCCAAAAGGAGCATATGGAATGGCCTTAAAAGTGGAGCTAATGAACAGACAAAGAAATATTTGAGGGGCCAAAACAAAAAACTTTAGGTCACTTCATTGTCAAATTTCAAATAAATAGACAAGACAAAATATATAAGGTCCAGATTTTGTTCTTGTATGCCAAAACATATCTCAAATCCCTTATCTATTTATGATTAAATCAAATCTTTTTTTTCTTTTGTATTTTTGTTTTAACTAGAAATAAATATTTTTCGTTGTTAGAACATAACCATTTGAGACCGTACGCCTTAACCACACATCCTAACGCTCGTCCTATTAATTGAGTTACCCATATTTCTGAATATGTGTATGAAATAGGTTAGTTGCAATGTGAGAAAGGGGTTCTTTAATATTTAACATAGTTTTAGTAAAAATATATATAATTTATATATGGCCCAACAACTAAAATTGGTCAAGTTGTAGATTAATTAATTTATAAATATAAATATAATTTCCTTAACTAAAATTATTGATAGTTTAGTCATTACACAACAAAATTTAGACTGAGACAAGTGTTTTATAAATATATATTTCGATTAAAATTATACATATTTTCGTCAGTATTCATCATATATTATAATTCATTCCAATTCCCCCAAGAGAAGACTCCCCAGAAAAGTAAATAAATCTTGCAGAAGTCATCTGAATATCCGTTTATAATGAGACAAACATTTTATCATTTATTATTCTTTGTTCCTTGAAAGATTGTAAGGTGGAATGGTCATCCGTAGATAGTCCAAACGGTTAGAATAAATTGAAAATCATAGTTTTAGCTTCGATTTTCCATTTGAGTATCTATAATTTAAGACGAGGGGGCCGTGGTGGTCGGTTGCTCCTTGATTACGGAAAAAAAAAAAAAAGGGTTTCAGTTTCCAATTTGGGTTTGTAAAACGAGCTTGAAACTAGTGGTGTAAGAACCGAATTCATCGAGTTGAGGGCTGTTGGTGAAGTCAAGTGTTAACCAAATACACAGAACAATGGCTGTCTAATTGCCTCCAATAATCTATCTTTTTATACAAAATTAACATTTTAATATGTATAATTAAGGGCCAATCTTAGCTGACCACTCACCCCTTTTAAACATCACAATCAAATCCATAATAGTAGAGTATAAGAAAAGATATCAACAAATTAAAGGTATTTACATGCAAGCAATCAAATTTCATTGGCCTATATACTAATTAATTATTTAATCAAAACAATTAATCACACCATTAAGAAAAGAAAAGTTGATTCCGCAGACCGACTCCCCATCACGATTGACGTAGAGCGCGACGTGGGGAGTTCTCATGTTGATCACGTCACGCTTCATGTCAATTGGGATGGAGAGTCGATATGCAAAATTGATAAGAGTAGTCTTACTTAAAATTTCACTTTCCTTTCTCATATGAATTTATTTAGATAAAAGAAAAGAGAATCACACCATTAAGAGAAGAAAAGTATTACACTTATCGATTCTGCAGACCGACTCTCCATCCCGATTGACGTGGAGCGCGATGTTGGAAGTTCTCATGCCGACCACGTCGCACTTCATGTCAGTTGGGACAGAGAGTCAGTATATAGAATTTATAAGAGTAGTCTTACTTGAAATTTCACTTTCCTTTCTTGTATGAATTTATTTAGATAACAGAAAAGAGAATCACACAATTAAGAAAAGAAAAGTATTACACTTATCGATTCTGAAGACCGACTCCCCATCACGATTGACGTGGAGCACGACGTTGGAAGTTCTCATGCCGACCACGTCGCACTTCATGTCAGTCGGGACGGAGAGTCAGTATACAGAATTTATAAGAGTAGTTTTACTTGAAATTTCACTTTCCTTCCTCGTATGAATTTATTTAGATAACAGAAAAGAGAATCACACAATTAAGAAAAGACAAGTATTACACTTATCGATTCTGCAGACCGACTCCCCATCCCGATTGACGTGGAGCACGACATTGGAAGTTCTCATGCCGACCACGTCGCACTTCATGTCAGTTGGGACAGAGAGTCAGTATACAGAATTTATAAGAGTAGTCTTACTTGAAATTTCACTTTCCTTCCTTGTATGAATTTATTTAGATAACAGAGGAGAATCACACCATTAAGAAAAGAAAAGTATTATACTTATCGATTCTGCAGACCGACTCCCCATTTCGATTGACGTGGAGCGCGACGTTGGAAGTTCTCATGCCGACCACGTCACACTTCATGTCAGTCGGGATGGAGAGTCGGTATGCAAAATTGATAAGAGTAGTCTTACTTAAAATTTCACTTTCCTTTCTCCTATGAATTTATTTAGACAAAAGAAAAGAGAATCGCACTATTAAGAAAAGAAAAGTATTACACTTATCAATTCTGCAGACCGAATCCCCATCCTGATTGACTTGAAGCACGACGTTAGAAGTTCTCAAGCCCACCATGTCGCACTTTATGTCAGTCGGAATGGAGAGTCAGTATACAGAATTTATAAGAGTAGTCTTACTTGAAATTTCACTTTCCTTCCTTGTATGAATTTATTTAGATAAAAGAAAAAAGAATCACACACCATTAAGAAAAGAAAAGTATTACACTTATCGATTCTACAGACCGATTCCCCATCCCGATTGATGTGGAGCGCGATATTGGAAGTTCTTATGTTGACCACGTCGCACTTCATATCAGTCGGGATGGAGAGTCAGTATACAGAATTTATAAGAGTAGTCGTACTTGAAATTTCACTTTCCTTCCCTACATGAATTTATTTAGATAAAAGAAAAAAAGAATCACACCATTAACAAAAGAAAAGTATTACACTTATCAATTTTGCAGGCTGACTCTTCATTCCGATTGATATAGGAAGTTCTCATATTGATCACGTCGCACCTCATGTGTCAATCAGAACGGAGAGTCGGTATACAGAATTGATAAGAGTAGTCTTAATTAAAATTTCATCCTTGTATAAATTTATTTAGATAAAAGAAAGAGAGAATACTATAAAATAGAGAGATAATTACGGGGTGGCTAATTAGGAGGATGGTAAATCCAACAAAACTTGAACATGTGGATTGCAAAAGTAATAATTATGTCACACGCCACAGTTGGTAGATTTATAAAGGCGGCTTCTCCATTTCTCTTTCTCTCAATTCAATTCAATCTCTTCTTCCTTCTTCCTTCTTCTCACTTTCACTCTGTTCATTACCATGGAGATGGAGGTGGTGATGCCGGTTCCTGCTACCGACTTCAATTTTGATAGTACTTGTTCTTCGCCTTACATCACCGCTCCTTCTAGTCCTCAACGTTTTGGCAACTTCTTCTGTAGTGCCCCCACTAGTCCCTCTCGTGTCCCCTCCTCCTTCTATCGTGACCTCAACAACCACCATTCTTCTTCTTCTTCTTCTTCTTCAACCAAACTCTTCAATGCTGAACAACATCACAGCAACAACAACAACGATGATGATGGTGAAGATTTTGAGTTTAACTTCAGCGGTCAACTGCAGCGAACTTCTTTATCAGCCGATGAGCTCTTTGATGGCGGCAAGATTCGACCTCTCAAGCCGTCAACTAATCACGAATCATCATCAACTTCTCAGAAAATTAAAGATCCTGAGAAAGAAAATATGCAGCAGCAACAACGTGGCAGAGAAAGAGTTTCGATTTCAAGCTGTTCTCGTAAAGGAACTCGATCTTTGTCTCCTATGAGAGTCACTGACATAATATACGAGCAAGAAGATGACATTTCGCCAACTGCAAAGATTATTTCTTCCACAACCGATAATAATAACAACAATTCAGCTAAATCTTATGCAGCTTCAATCCTCTCCGCCATTTCATTTTCAAAGAGTTACAAAAAGTGGAAGCTCAAGGATCTCTTATTGTTCAGAAGTGCTTCAGAGGGAAGAGCAACGGGCCCGGATCCTCTCAGAAAGTATTCGGTTTTGTCCAAGAATATTAACAAAGAGCCAGAGGATGTGAAGAATTCGAGCTTCAGGTCAACTGATAGCGCCGGCTCAGTTTCCCGGCGGAGAGGAACGGTGTCGGCTCACGAGTTACATTACACGGCGAACCGGGCGGTGTCTGAGGAGTTGAAGAGGAAGACTTTTTTGCCATACAAGCAAGGATTGTTGGGGTGCTTAGGGTTCAACCCTGGTCTGCATGACATTTCCAGAGGTGTTGGGTCTTTGCCACGTGGATGATTCAGATTTCTCCATCTGTTTCTCTCTTGATAAATATAAATTTTATATGATTCTTTTGATATATATATATATATACATATGTTTTTGGTGTTAATTATATATATCTCTGTATATTTGTTCTTTCTATGGTGTCTCTACCCATGAAATGGACTCAAATTGTATTATTTATAACAGGACATGTAGAAAATTACAGAGGGTTTCTCAAATCAAAACCTGTTTTCTCTTGGTTTATGTGATTTGGCAATTAATGTACATGATAAATTTCAGAGATTAATTCAGCTTCAAAATGTGGCCAAGGTTTTAATACTATTCTTGTAGATGGCTTGTAAAAGAAGGCTCTAGCAAAATTTGATTTTGAAAATTTGAAGGAGGCAATGTCAATCTGAAGTATGTGGTGGGCAAAGTGAAGGGGGTTATTAAAGTAGGCTGAATTTTTTGACATTTCATAACGGTTCTTCTCCAACAAAATATAATTTTTTTTTTCCAGTTTACACGTACTTTAACTAATATGTTGGGACCCTGAAAGTTCGACTAAATAATCATTTAATGATCACCCTTATTAGCGTTTAAAAGACTTGAACTAAGAAGCTTGGAGAACCTCATTTTGTTATTTTACCATTTAGCTATCCAATTATGGTTAACAAAGATAATGTTGTATAACTTGAAATCAAATAATTTAAATTTGCAAAGAATGTTATTTCAAAAGGGTAACATTAAATTCTAGAGCCATTTTTTCCCTTTGAATAGTTTAATGAGAGGATTCCCAACTAGACAGATCTGGTGAAGACTTTAAATGCATGGAGAATGATAGCGGGAACATGACTTGGTGAAAGAAATTAAAGAATATGAAAGAGAAAAACACACACATGGGGGCTTGAAAAGAAAGAGGAGAGAAAGAGAGATAGAGAGAGATAATTGTATAAAAAATTAATGATAAGGGTGTGGAATAATCATGGTAATGATGAAATTAAACAGTGTAAAGTTGAGTAATTGGTGTTAGCAGTCAAACAAAAGGTGGGGGATTTTATATTTGAGAATCAAATGAAAAAACAGATAATCCAAACTATAGCTAGCTAACAGATACACTTAGTGTTTGATATGGTTCATAATTTGCATGTAGACATATTCGGAGGTCGGGTTAGATTCGGATAAACTCAAATGAAGTAGAGTTTTTTATTATATATATATTATGTAATAGTAAGAAATCTGATGTAATCAAAGTAGAGAACGAGAGTCGAATTAAGGTAAATCAAATATACTATTTATTTTTCTGTTTTCTTTTATTGTATCTGTTTGGCTGTAGTTTCAACACCTAGCTACTGCCTGCTGCTGCTGCATGTTTTTATGATCATCATTTCTCCATCACTACAAACCCTAATTATGAACTGTTTGCCAAAGGAGGGAGGGCTCCTGTTTTTGTTTTTTAAAAGTATTGTTGTAGCCTCAGGCATGTGTATATGTGTTAAGCTATAGGGCTTCTGTTTGCTGTACTCAAAAGTTGCAATGAATGGAGAGAAGAAAAAAGAGGAAAGAAAGTGGACATCAGATTCCCAGAAAAACCATTTTTTTAATATATTTTTCCAAGTTCATAATCAAATTAAACAAATGGTTAACCATTAATTTAATTAAAAACAGTTTTAATATGTGGAATGGAAATATTCTTCCCTTTATAAGGTACAGCTTATTATATTTGTTTAAGTACCAACTAGCTCAGTTGGCAAAATCTTTAATAATGTAGAAGAGATGTTTAAAATGCTTCTGCAGAAAGTGTTTTTTTCTTCTTCTTTTTTTTCTGCAAAATTGCTTGAGATTGGTCCAGGATAAGCACTATCGATCAGATTCAGCAGTGCTGCATGCATAATATCATCATAACGGGACCAAATTTCCAAGACCATGATGTGAATTGTGAAATGCATTGGTCCAACGCTTTGTTTTCACTTCTTCATGTATACTGCAGTCTAATTATATATACATATATGCATAAATTTACAGCAGGCTTAAAAGAAGAAACTATTATTAAAGGGGTTAAGATACATATCATTAATTAAGTAGAGTGTGATACTTTTTCTCCTGGAGTTTATAATCCTGTAGGCAAAAGAAGGGGCGACCAGCCATCAGCCATGCAAACAAAACTATATCTTTATAGAAAGTCTAGTAATGTCCACTATACAGGAGACCCACATAATATCCTGTAATCATGCTTACTTATCTTTATTCCCTTTAGAGGTTCTTCCAGTGAAGGAAGAAGAAATTTAGCCATGGCCATTGCTTCCAATGCAGTTCAATTCTCCTTACTAACGTCTTGAATCTTTTATAATTCAGATCATACAGAGTTAACTCTTGCATGCAAGAATTCACAAGATTTTTAAATTTTAATGATCGAAGAAGACAAAATTTCACATAAAATCAGGATTTTAGATTCGATCTTAATTCCCTTTATTTCTTAGAGGTTGTTCGAGTAAAGAAAAAGAAATTTAGCCACGGCCATGGCTTCCAATTCTTCATACTAACGTCCTGAATCTTTTATAATTCAGATCATACAAACAAAGTTAACTCTTGCATGCAAGAATTCACAAGATTTTGACTCTTAACGACAGAAAATGACAAAATTTCACATAAAAATTCAGGGTTTTAGATTCGAGCTTGATTCATTATAGTGATCATTTAATTTTATGTTTGTATATAAGCCAAAAACTTGTCTTATTTATGAAAATGATAATGGCAATGATGGTGGATGATGAATTGGGTGTTGGTGAGCAATTTTGTGTGTACATTTCTCAGCCTTGCATGGTTGTTGGTGACAATAATAGCAGTTAATTTCATGATTGTGATGAGTGGTTGTGTGTAGTTACATATATAAATCTAAATAATATGGTCAAAAATCTACAGTATGAATATGGAGTACTGATCATTTGATGGTCATCAATTCATCTCAATTGCTTCAAACCTGTTCTTCATTATTTATACTAATAACTTCTCATTAACATATTTCAGTCAAAAAGAATACAAAAAAGGAAGTGTATTCATTCATTCTTTTGTTTTGTAAACGGATTTAGGGACATTCCTAATTATCGTTTTTTTATATATTCATTCATTCTTCTCTCGTTGTAGATTCAACAACTCACTCGTGGATTTGAGTTTTTTCTAAATTGTTTAATTATCATAAAACCCCTTAGAAAATATCAAAAAGCCTTTCTCCTAAAAAACCGATGAAACCGAACTATATCGTATCAATTTTTTCGGTTTAGTTATTAAACTAAGAGTAAACGACTTTTTCCCACCCAAATAATGGGTTTAATGACACTTTTCCACCCACAGACATTTAAAATACTACTTTCCTACCCAAATTTATATTCTGTTTCTGATTTTGGCATTGTTGCAACCCTACACTACCATCATTCTCTTCCTCGATCATCATTCACCAAAACCCCTCAAACCTTATTCCCGCCAATCGTCGGCAATCGAGCTATTAGGGTTTGTACAGCCGCCCATCTCAAGTCAAATTCTGATTAATCCCAACAACCAAAATCCAACCTTCCACCACCAAAAGACTCGTCGACCTCCTCTCTTCAAAAGCCCCAACAGTATGAAACGAGTTTGCTCTCTGTTCGCAGACAGAATATAAATTTGGATAATAAAGTAGTATTTTAAAAGTCTGTGGGTGGGAAAATGTCATTAAACCATTATTTGGGTGGAAAAAAAGTCATTAACTCTTAAACTAATACGACAAGGTACAGTAACACATGCTTTTTCTATAAATTTTCGTTGAATGATATGGTTCTATAGGGCAAGGTACAAGCTGTAATTCCAGTAGTGGGAGAGTTTTGATTCATGAAATGGTTTAAGTGGTGGCATTATGTATAATTGCTTGAACCCTTTTTGAAATAAAAAAAAAGTAATACTACACTAACAACCATTTCTCACAAACTTTCTCTCACAACCTTGACGTAGCAACTCGCAATTGGTCAGCTCACAATTAATTAGTAGAACCCATGTGAGACCCGTTGTGAGCTGATCAATTGCGAGCTGTCACGTAAAAGTTGTGAGAAATGGTTGTTTGTATAGTATTATTCATGAAGAGTAATATCGGTGACTAAAATGTAAATGTTTTTGGTGACTAAAATGTGCGATTCATTTTTCTTTTTCTTTTTTTCCTGAGCTGCTTGAGTCATCATATCGTGTTCCTTTGCTCAGTTTCTCTACACGTTTAGAGAGAGCTTCTTCATCATCAAATATTTCTTTCCATTGACTTGGAATACAAACTTTTTGACTCATTTTGTTCTTGAGAAATGCAAATTAGATCGAATTACCAGCCTTTATTATGGCTGTGTGCTTGAGTAGAAAGCAATAGGAGAAACAAAGAAAACACTTTGAAAAAGTTTAAAAGGCCAGTCAAAAGTGACTCCATATGTTCATCGTTTCTTATATTTTACATGTGTTTGGAAGTCTTTATGGTTAGTGATAAATTTCTCTTAAATAATCAAAAGTATTGTGACTTTATTTCCAAGTGTTAGGTTAAATTAATGAAAAATTTCTTCATTTCCATTAATATACAATTAATGCTACACCGCCATCATCATACCGGTCTTCAAAGCTAGGGGATTCAAACCTGAAACCGTGTACCTTAATCAGAGAGATTCGAACCTAAAACCTTGGAAATTGGGGGAATTCGAACCTGAAACCGTATATCTTAAACAAAGGGATTTGAACCTGAAATTGTGCGCCTTGATTAGACATCGTAGCACTACTCCTTGTTGGGATATTGTGGCTTGTTTTTCTATTTGTTCTCAAGTAAAATTGTATGTCTTTAGGAAAACTCTTTAATAAATAATACAATTCTAAATAAGAATAGAATTATGAGAGTCCTATTAGGAATTGAAATATAAATCCTATTAGGAATAGAATATCCCATATATTACCCATAAATATAGGGGTGAGACCCAATTTAAGGTTATGAGAGAATGTGAGAACACAGAGTATTTAATATAACGGTTACTAATCACTATGGGGAGAGTGTCTTAGAAATTAGGGTTGTTTCCACTCTAGGTACTTGGTTGAGCGTGGTTAGAAACTATGATATTTCCACTCTGTTTTATATACCGGGTTTATGGTGATGTGTACCCTTGTATATCGTGTTCATGAAACTATAGTAGATTTCTCTCATCCTTAGATGTAGGCAGGTTATGTCAAACCACATAAAATATCATGTCTCTTTGTGTGGTATAATTTATTCTTATGTTATTCATTTCGAATGTATTTTTTTCGCTGCACGATCTGCTAACACTCCTACCACTTGAGCTACCCAAAGGTGGGCTATGTGACTTACTGATGTTCTTTTATGTATCCATTTAGTGTATGTTTATTTTTTATTTTAAGTAATGTGGGGGGTATGTCTTCTGGGTTAGGTTTTGCTTTCCTCTTTTCTTTTCATTAAATAAAATTTCTTTGAAAAACTTTTCTACCTTCATATTGCATTGGATAAAAAAATGTCGTGCAAAGCTGAAAGTCCTCTTACCATATAACACGTTTAGAAATTTATTGTTAAAAGTCACAGCCGAAATCTTTGATTTTACAAAGTCGTCGCGTTGACGAAGTCAATATTTAACACTTTAGAAATAAATGGAGGTTCGGTGAAGAAGAGAAGAGGTCCTCAGTTGTTGTGTTAGGAGCATTAGCATAGAAGAAAAAAAATATTTCCTCAAAATATATATAAAAAATACCAAAATAAATACATATGATAAACTATAAAATTAGGGATGTTAAAATTCTGCCCGACAACAACCTTAAGGGGTTAGGCCGATGTCCGACAATTAAGAAGGTTTACTCCCTTCATTGAGTTTTTCGATTCAAATCTTGGAATCATCTATCATATTATGACTTACTAGATTCTTTAAGTTGGTAGGGTGTTCAATAGATTTTAAAGATTAGTTGATGTGCACACAAACTGATCTAGATACCCCGATTACCAAAAAAAAAAAAAAAAAAAAGACTACCCAATCCAAGATATAGAATTCCCGAGTCTACATCTGGACCTGGGTCTAGGTCCACTGCATCAATGTCCAGGCCATGTCTGGGCCTTGGAAATCAAGCGCAGCTCGGAATATTGACATCCCTAGGGAAAATTTTGACATCATAAATTGCAAGGCCGTTTCTAAATGTTTGACAGAATCAATGTACACTCCACAGTCCACATTCAAAAGCCTCAAAGAGAGATGCCTCTGCCACCATAAGCATAGGCCTTAACAATGTTTAATTTCAATGTGTAAAGAAACAAGCCTCCTTGACACTATCAAGCTATTTCTGAGAACAAAATGAATCCATAGAAGAATAGTCTTCAGTTTCATGTTCAAGATGCACTTCAGAAAGAAAGAAGGCTATTGAAATGATTCCAGAACTATAAGGCTTGTTCTAGTATTCTTTAGATTGTAATGTACAAACTGTAAGAGGGGCACTACTTTCACCTGACCCGACGGAAACAACAATTACATTTTTAAGAGAGAGTTGCCAATCAGACAAACAGTTATTCGATTACATTTGCGAAAGAAAAATCATGATAAGAGAAATGGTTTCTCTCAAGCATAGGAAGTGAATAATACCACACCCAAGCAAGCCCCCCCTTGTCAATGAGAGAAATGAAGGATTCTTGCGCAGTTCTGGATCAACGAGACTGGTACAGACCGAGCAATGGTTTCTCTCTCTTTTCGACTCTCTTCCTTGCAGCCTCCCTAGCTTTAAGTGCCGCTGCTTCTTCTGCATTTACGGGCTTTGCTTTCTGCTTTGGCTTATTATCTTCCCTCTTTCTCTTGCCAACAGTTACCGATGATGGAGCACCTTTGACAGATCTCAATGGATTTAGTGAAGCAGAAACAACAGGCCCTGGTGCAGGACCAGTTTGACCTTTCACAGAATCTTTATTTTCCTTAATTGGTCCTGCTCCTGATGCTGGTAATGGACCTTTCATCCTGGGTTTATGTTTGGAATCCACAGAACTCTGAGCTGTGGCATATGCCTCTTCCTGGGTCACCCACTTGGCTGTTTCATTTATTTACAAGTAAATTTAAAATGCAATGTATAATTTGAAAGGATATCTTAAAGAATAAAAAGAGCTCCAGATCAGAAAGTTCAATTTTAAGAGGTCAAAAGTCCAATTATATGACCCCATACCTATAGCATCAGAATAGTAAAAGCCCGATTTTGGGTCATAGTAAAGGCCGTTGCTGGAATTGAAGTAGTAGCCCGAAGTGCCATCATAATCCCATTCTGTCATCAGTGAGCTGTATCAGTTTGAAACTAAGATGATCAAGAGAAAAAATAACCACAAAACACTTATATAATCATACTTATTGAAAGATTTAAAATTAAATCAGAAGCATATTTTACTTGATTAAACTGATGTCAGCCCTGAAAGAGATTCAAGGTCCACTTGATTCATGGCCTGACTCTTTTACAAAATGTTGACTGCACAGAATGAAGCAAAGCAGGACTTTGCAGGCCTATTATATGGTAATAGAAGTCAACCTAAAAACATAAGGTAATTGTAATCTAACATGGTTAATCTACCAGAGGAGTAAAAAATATTATTACCACTGGATTGCAAATGAGAAATGGCAGTAGATTGTTGGGCTTTTCAAGCTCAGATTTTTCAAAAGCCAACCGAGCTTAAATTAATCATCTGTCTGGAAAAACTGTAGCTTAGTCACCAGCCTAAAGCTAGTCAATGAAAAAGCTTCTCACAAATAAGTTTGTGCTATTAGTGAAAGTCAAACCTACAAATGCAAATCAGTAAACAAAATCGTATGATAACTTTTCTACTTTTAAAGCTCTTTGTGATTTGATGATTTATGGGATATTGCCACTGGAATCACATGAAATCAGACTAAACTATTCTTGAACCTCAACAGAAGACAAATGTGTATCTCAAGCTTGACTTGTTAAGCAACTGAGCCTATAACTAAATACACAAGCCTGAGCAAGTGGCTTAGTGAATCAAATTTGAACAGTCAAGTTATTTGCAAGAAAGCTCAGTTCAATCAAAAGTAGCCTTTTGTGCACAGTGCACCCAAATGGTATCTAGGATCACACAACCTCATCACCAGACCTTTTCATTACAAAACAAGACATGAGTCCTTGCCATGTATGAAACATAATCACAATAGTCTATATTGTCAAATCTCGTCTTGGTACTAGAGCTAATAATTAAACATCTTGGTGAAACTATAGATACTTACTCTCTTGATCATCTAAAGCATCGGCATTAGAATCTCTGGACTGAAGATTAGCTACATCCTTCTGATAGCTACGCTTGGCTTTCTGGCAGATGTTGAAGATCAAAGAAAATAACAGTCAAGCTTAGAAAATAAAAATAAAGGCTTATTTACTTTAGTACAATTATATATTCAAAGGAGTTCTCTAACCACACTCTTGTGCAAGCTATTTCCCAAACAATGTCAAATTGTTTTTACCACATTCTTTGTTATCCTACTCTTGAAAACTATGTTGATTTGGGTGGTATAACTAGCCCATGATTTACAATGTCTGAGAACATGATTAAATAAACTATAATAAGCCAAACTGTTCAACTCAACAAGACAACTTTTATATTTTGCCCCTCACATATCTAAAAGTAGTACAAAATCTTTCCATCCATAGACAAGCCTATCAAAGTTGACTTAACTTGATGCATGTTCAAAGTTAGAACCACCATCTTTTGAAAGAAATGTGTAGATCTAGTAATTTATCAAAATGAAATGCTCCTAATAACCACTTACTGCTTCAATCTGTTCAAGAGCACGGGCTGCTTCCTTTTGCTCCTTATCCTTGGCAGCATTCTCTTTCCTCATATCAGCAAGCTTCTTGCTAACATTTTCCCTATGACGTTGACCAAGCTCATGGTTTCTAATGCTGGAAGGATTATTTGATATGTAGATTTTGCAGAAGTCGCACCATTTATTACCCTGGCTGACCCAATACTGAAAAAAAGAAAAAGAAAGAAAAAAAAAAAAAACAACGAGAACCAAATAAGTTCATTTCTAGCTCTTAATTGTGTAATAGTAGAACTGTAATTGAAATGATGAATCTAACAATATATAACCTAAATTAAATGCTCATAGTAGACATCAAGGTAAACTAAATTCTCAAAGAGCAACAATGACAAGAATCCTAGGATTCCAAAGTGAATTCGACTCCCATTCACAGCTTAAAACACACCAAAATAAATAAAAATCAAATCAAATAAAAGGAAAGAGAATCATAATTGTCTAAGATAACCAGTGAGCCCCTAATCAGGCCAAAAGCACTAAATAAATTCTCGGAAATCAAATAAACCTCAAAGTCTTAGTCTTTTCCCAATTGATGTTCTAAATTTGAATTACTCTCGCCAAATCAGAAACTTCAGAGCATCAATTTCGATTTTCTTTTTAGTTTGAGATACATTAACAGCCAGAAGAACACATATGATGGTGGGGAAAAAACAAAGAGAACAATGATCGAGTTCATCATTGGAAACAAAGATGGGAGTAAAAGATACCTCAGTCATGGCTCCGACTTAGATTGTTGGCGATGCTGATGGCGAGAACTTGAAGAAAAGATTGTTAATTTTACAAAAATTGACAGATAATTATTGAAGAAATTGTTCTAAACCCTAAATCTCTTATCTCTCCCTCTCTATCCAAGTTGGAGCAGGCAAACCGAGCGGGCTTAGTTCAAAATACTTCAAATTGGAAGAATCGAATTTGAATCGGACCGGTTTAAATTTGTTAAGCCACCACTAAACCGTTTACATTATTAAAATTTTGATTTAATTAAATTAAGGCATTTTTTTATTATTTTGGACTTTGGAGTATAAATTACCTAATTAAGTTTTTCAAAGGTTATATATATATATATATATATATATATATATATAAAGAGTAGCGGATCTAAAAATTTCTGTTAGGATGGACCAAAATAAAAACTAATTACATATAACATTCCTATTCTATTTTTTTAGTTAAAATTGTCACAAAAAGAACAAAAATCACATACTATTTTTTTTTTTTTTTAAATTCATGACCCTCAATAGAAGGATACCTTTATCTAAAACTGACACAAGCGGATAGATAAATCTAATCCACAAAATTAATTTTGAGTAGTGTTAGGTCTACAACCCTCGCTGTGACAATTTGTTATTGGTTAACTCGTGAAATAGGTCATGTCTGCTTGTCTGGATCCCATCTACTCATTTGCGAGCTAACAAGTGATAAGTTACCAGAGTTGTGAACCTAACATTATTTAATTAATTTTATCTATAAACAACATTACTATGGTTAAGATAGCAACCTAACATATATTTATTCATTTTTTATTTATTTAAAATTTGGAAAATATTTTAATTTTAAAGTAGAATTGAAAAATTGATATCCAGATATGTTTGGCTGCGTTTATTTCTCTATCCTACCCAAAATACATATTTGTTTCTCTATTCTCAAAATCTAATCATATTCTATTCAATTATTTTAAAATCTCCTAGCTTTGTTAACTTAACTAAACACCCCCTACAATAAAACATTAAAAATTAACAAAACACCCCCCAGCCACCCTCCGGTGGTGGTGGTTGGATGTCGGCATTTAATGGGTGGGTGGGGGTGTTTTTGTTAATTTTTAATGTTTTTATTATGGGAATGTTTAGCTAAATTAACAAACCTAGGAGGTGTTTGTAATTTTTAAATCATATTCTCATAATAACAACCAACTCAACTTTTTCAAAAATACAACTTAAAATAATAAAACAAACACAATTAATATTTGAAAACATATTTGACATAATATATAAAAATAAAATAAACAAAAAATTCTAAATTATATAGAATCAAGATCAAAGCAAGAGGGCTTTATTTTTCAAAATGGACTTCATGGTGAATACAAAAAACAATAACTTTTAGGGCGAATGATATGTTCCCACCAAAGTTTGCCCAAACGATAATTTCCCATACACCGTTAAGATGTATTAGTAAAATCCGTTAATTTACTAATAGATCTATCCTTATTCTTACAGATTTTATCCGTGAATGGGAAACTGTCATTTTGAAAGTTTTCGGGGGGGAAATTGTCATTGGGTAAACTTTAGGTGGGTGGATGGGAACATGTCGTTCGCCCTAATTTTTAATCATTAAACATTGAAAAATTACTTCAGCGTCCTCCGCCTTCGCTCAATATATTAATCGGATTCCTTTGGTTGTTCATTCTCTTTTATAAAAAAATTTGAATCATGACCCGCGGTGATGCCTCGCCGGCCACCGCAACAACCACTTTCCACTAAATCCTAACCCTGAAATCATAGAAAGAGTTCATTTTGTTTCAAATCAAAAGGCACCATGGACGAAGCCTTCATGCTAATGCTCTCAAATCTCCTTCACCTTCACAACTCCCTTGACCCTACCACTTCTCTCCTCTCCTCCACCGCCGCCGCCTCCTCCGCCACCTCCTCTACTTCTTCCACGTCCTCTACTTCCCTCCTGTCCTCTTCCTCCGCCGCCCCCCTCATCTTCTTCACCCTCTCCTCCCTCCTCTCCTTCCTCTCCACTGCTAAAAAAACTGCCGGGAAATCAGGCACCGCCGCCTCCTCCTCTGATAACAAAGGCGACCCCATTTCAGCCTCAGATTCCTCCGCTTACTCCGTCTCGGCCTTCCGAGCTCTCACCACGGAACACATCTGGTCGTTAGAGGCTCCGCTTCGCGAAGCTCACTGGCGTTCTTTATACGGCTTGTCGTATCCGGTATTCACCACCGTCGTTGAGAAGTTAAAACCCTACATCGCGGCGTCGAATCTCTCTCTGCCGTCCGATTACGCCGTTGCGATGGTTCTGTCCCGTCTTGCACACGGTCTCTCTGCCAAAACCCTAGCTTCTCGGTATTCTCTTGAACCCTACTTGATTTCGAAAATTACTAATATGGTCACGCGTCTTTTAGCGACGAAATTGTACCCAGAGTTTATTAAAATTCCTATTAGTAGGCGTCGTTTGATTGAAACGACACAAGGTTTTGAAGAATTAACGTCTCTGCCGAATATATGTGGGGCTATTGATGGGAGTCATGTTAAGATTTCTAATGCACAAGTAAAGCACGTCCCAGGGAATCAGAATCAGTATAGGTGTAAATATGGGTTTAATTCGGTTTTGCTTCAGGTTGTAGCTGATCATAGGAAGATTTTCTGGGATGTTTGTGTCAAGGCGTCTGGTGGAACAGATGATAGCGCACATTTTAGGGATAGTTTGTTATATAATCGTTTGATTTCAGGGGATATTGTATGGGATAAGGCTGTCAATGTGAGAGGTCACCATGTGAGGCCATATATTGTAGGGGATTGGTGTTATCCTTTATTGTCCTTTTTGATGACACCCTTTTCACCAAATGGGGCTGGGACGCCTGCGCAGAATTTGTTTGACGGGATGTTGATGAAAGGGAGGAATGTGGTGGTGGAGGCAATTGGGTTGTTGAAAGCAAGGTGGAAGATTTTGCAGGATTTGAATGTGGGGATTAATCATGCACCCCAGACTATTGTTGCTTGTTGTGTTTTGCATAATTTGTGTCAGATTGCGAGGGAGCCGGAGCCAGAGCCCTGGAAAGAGCCAGACGAGAGTGGGTCTCCTGCAAGGGTGCTTGAGAGCGAGAAACAGTTTTATTATTTTGGTGAGAGCTTGAGGCAGGCATTGGCTGACGATTTGCATCAAAGGCTTTCAACAAGATAGTAGATGTCGTTTATTGAATCAAGGACGTACTTGAATTTGTAATGATAATGCTTTTTTTAAGTCTAACCATCATCTCACGTATAACATCAAAAGATAGTATGTTGTGTAATTAATTCCAGTTCTGTCATATCCCGTCTTGCTAAGTATTTGAAGTAGATTTCGTGGACAAGTTCATAGATGTTTTGTAGTAAAAACCATCCTTTATTGATGGGGCAGACTAATCTAAAAACGAAATTCTGAAAATTAGGGAATCTTGAATTGTGGGGAGTGGCTGTGTACAACTATCATCGGGTCTTGTTCATTAAATTTAGTTCACTTATCTTTGTTATAGTTGATTATATGATATTTCCCTGTGAAGTTACTTGTGCATTGTGTTTGACAAACCTGCATACATTGAAAAGAAATTAATGGAACTGATCAACTGTGATATTATGATATGTTGACTTCACATAGTGACTTAGTAATGTTTGTTAGAGCTAATCTAAATGCCTGGTTTGTGCAACTACTTTCACATTTGATTCAAATTTTGTTCTTCGTCAAGCAGTCTTGTCATGTGCCCATTTTCATAACTTAATCAGCTCCCTTTATGATGCATGATGATGTCTTGTATTTTGAAGGTAAATGCACACATTTGAATTGTTGCGCTTAACATATATGTGCACTTTGTGAAGTTATTTGTCACATTTCTGGAAAAACTCTTTATTGTTATTGTAATACAGTTGAAATATTGATTTTCGTAAATCTATGTTGATTCTTAATCAGCTCAACTAGCTCTAAAGCTGATTTCTATGAGAAAATCATTTTAAGCAATGCATCTTTATTTTCTTGATATTTTTTCTCTATTGTATTTTCTTCTGTGCTGCTCTTTCTTTGCTATATTATTGCTGAGAGAGCCAGCAATTTCCAACTTGGAATGATGTCTTGTAGATGTACTGATCTGGTCATTTAGAGGACACAAACCCCTTGTGTTTAGCATTGTGCTTCATATCAGTTTACCATTGCGCTTCATATCCTATAACTCAGTATTTAGATCTTAGGGCAGATTATCGCGCCGGAAAAGAATTGAGATGTTGCAGAATGAATTTATTTGGCAGATCTCACTCCGGTGGATTTAAGGCTTAGTGTATAATTTTATATCAAAAGCGATGGTGTTGTAGCTTATCCATGTTTGCTCGGCTAGTCAATTGGCAGTGGCGATCAGGTTCATTGGCGTCCCGTTTGTGATCCTACTCACTCAATCGAAGATGTGATCGTCTTAATTCTAAACATATGTTTTTTATGGCATTGTCTTGAAAGTGTACAATCATGAAAGTATATGTTTTTATTCATCACAACACAATCTAGGAACGCTGAGCTCGCTGGGAAAGGCATCACATATTGTCATTTGGGCTTATTCTAGAGCTGATTATCATGAGGAAAATCTTAGGTAAAGCATATATATGCGGCTGCCTTTTTCTTTTGGCTTTTCACTTTTTCCTCTTGATCGGATGGATATCAGCTGCCAGCTTCTCTCTTCTGGATCTTTGTTTTTCTCTCATGGTGGATGCCTCTTCAGATCTCCAAAACCTATAAAGACCAAGAGAGACTACATAAGAAAACAAATTGAATTGAAAATGTAAAGAGAGATTGAGTGGAAATTAAAGTTGCCTGGGGGACCCCGTCTAACAAAAAGAGGAGCAAAAGAACCACTGGGTATAACTGCCAAATAAAATTGTGGTACTCAAAGCGTAAGGGAAAGCCAAAAATCATATAAAAGAACCAACTACTGCAAGTACCCCTAATTCAAATTGGGTTCAGTACCTAGGACCTCTAAATTCAATCAACCGGTCAAGGATTCAATCCCTAATTTAGAACTCCACAAACAAGTAAATAGATGTGTTTATAAGCAGAAATGCATTTCATTAATTAAAGGTTGCAGGGATAAGGGCAACTTAAGTAATAAAATCTGAGAGTTACTTTATGTTATATCATATCCAACTTGAGCACTACTAAAGCATGTTCAATATCTAACTTAGATACCTTTGGGAAATTGCTGGCAAGAGCAGGGACATGCAGTCATAAATCCGAAACTCCACAAAACTTGCGAGGGTTCTGGCATCATCACCAAGAAAAATGAACGATCATGACTGAAGACAAACAAGAAAGCTCTGCATTTCAGCTTACTTAAGTATTTTTAATCATGTTCTCTATGAACTCATAGGAATTTAAGTGATGATCATTGAACAACAGATGGATCTGAGAATCTACCATATACTTTATTCCCCACGGTTAGTGCTTCTTCCGCTATTTGGAAGGAGGCCATCCTTGGCCATTTCAGTTAGCACATTGAGAACTGCATCCATGTTACCTTCTTTGTGGTTGATTTCAACAAGCACTTTTGCAAGTTCAGCATCAGTAAGCCTACAGCTTCTCAGTGTATTCCCTACAACTAGGCTCAACTCCTCATTCATAGCCGCCATGAATAAAGCTTTCACTAGAGCAATAATGGTCACAGTATGAGGAACAAAACCAGAATGCACCATTTCCTTGTACAGTTCATATCCCTTCTGTACATTTCCGCCGCTACTATGACCATGAATAATAATATCGTAAACGGCTTCATTAGGCTTGTGGTTCCTCTGGAGCATTGACTCAAAAACTTGATCAGCTTCATTCATTAAACCTTTCATACAGAATCCCTTTAAAAGGGCCACCACGCTTTTAAATTCAATATTACTACAATTCTCTATCAGAGTATTATAAGTAACATCAGTTGGGACAGATTCATCATAGAACAACTTGAGCAGAAGCCTCTTTGCTTCTTTTGTCCGAGCCCGTTTATTGAGTCCATTAATAAGCACGCTGTAGGTAACAACATCAGGAAGGAATCCCTTCTGAATCATTTCATCATGCAAATGAAAAGCCTTACTTATATCTCCTTCTGTGCAATAAGCATTGATCAAGGTTGTATAAGTAATTTCATCAGGGGCCAGACCACTATTCAACATCTCTTGGAAAAGGTTGCAAGCTTCAACCAGTCTCCTTTTATCACACAGACCTTGAATGAGTGTAGAGTAAGTAATGGCGTCCAGTGGAACACCCTTCTCAACCATCTGCTGCTTCATTTCAAATGCCTTGTCCCATTCCTGGTTTCTACAAAATCCAGATATAATTGTACAGTAACTTACAACATCTGGTGTCAACCCTTTCTCAACCATACCCTGAATCACTCCAAGAGCCTCTTCAACCCTTCCCAAAATACAATGTCCATTTATAAGAGCATTATAAGTCACTATTGAAGGCACAAAACCATTCTCAGTCATTTCATTCAGGAGGCGGTAAGCTTCATTCAAGAATCCCTGCTGTGAAAACCCATCTATCAACGTTGTATATGTCCTTTGGTTTGGATGAAGCCCTCTAACACGCATCTGATCAAAAAATTCCAATGCCCTATTCAGATTTCCTGCCTTACACATACTATTGATCAACGACGTATAAGTAACCACATTTGGACGCAACCCATTCTTCATCATCTCCGCATGCAAAACAAGTGCTTGATGAAAGTTCCCCTCCTTACAGTATCCATTCACCAGTGTATTATAAGTCACCTCATCTGGAACAAACCCCTTCCGACTCATCTCCTTTAAAATCTCACTCGTCTCCTTTAGCCTCCCTTCTCTACACAACCCATTAATGATCACATTATAAGAAATCAAATTCGGCTCAATACCTTTCAAAGACAACGTTTTCAACAACTTATACGCGTCATCAATCCTCCTCAGCTTACAATATCCATCAATCAAAGTATTATAAGTAACCACATTAGCTAAACACTCATTCTTCTCCATTTGACTAAAGAGCCGCAACCCCATGTCTAAATTCCCCTCCATACAAAATCCCCTTATCAATATATTGTAAGTAAACACATTTGGTGAAATTTTGCTTCTAATCATTTCATCATACACCTTCTCAGAAAATTTAACCCAATTATCACCTCTAGTCCTAATTATTGAATCCAAAATTGCGTTATAAGACAAAACACCAGGCATAAAACCATTTAACTTAGCTAAATTAACAATGTTTAAAGCTTTATCGATCATGTGTAAACTAGCGTAAGATTTCACCACTAAATCAAAAACCGCCGAGCTTGAGCTCGAATCACAGAGGTGGTACGTGTCTTTGAGGCACGAAAAGACGATACTGCCTTCATCGTTGGTTAAGCTGACAGCAAGACTCTGGGCCAGGGTTTGGGCGGATTTGTAGAGCTTGAATTTGGTTAAAATGTGGAGGGTTAGGCATTTCAACTTGGGGGTGAAGAAGGGTTGGGGCTGAGCCCATTTCAGGAAGTTTAGGGTTAGGGTTTGGTCGGACTGAGTTCTTAGGAGTAAAATCAATGCGGCTTCAGAGGTGAAATCGGAAGATAGAGAGTTTAGCTGGTATGGGTGACGTCTAAGGAACGTTAGGGCTTTGTCTGCTAAGTGGGCGTCGTTGGGTGAGGAGAGCCTGGAGAATGAACGGTAAATTTGGAGGTTTGGGAATGGCATTTTGGGGACCTGGTCACACTCTGGGTTTAGCAGAGGTTTAAACCAGAGCTTCATAAGATTTTCTTTATGGGTTTTGACTATTAAGAAGTTTTTGTGTACTCTTTTATAACAGTTTATGAAAAGAAATTTTTTATTTTATTTTTTTAAACTAAAGTTTTCTGGTTAGTTTATACTCAGCTTGATTAATCTTGAAAGAGACTGGTGCAATAACCCACTCACCAGGCCTCTAACTTAAATTGTGACTAATCCTCGAAAGAGACTAGTGCAATAACCCACCACTAAGCCCCAACTTAAATCGTGACTGCTCGACTAATCTTTGGAGGAGACTAGCTCAATAACCCACTGTATCGGTCTCCCACTTAAATCGCGAGTGCTCAGATAAAGATTCGAACCTGAAACTATGCACTTGTGAAAACTTGAAAAGAAAAATATTTCATGCTTAATTCTTTGAATTAATAAAGTCTGATCCATGAAAGAGAATTCAAAATTTACCCTTTCTTACAACAATAACATCTCAATGAGAAGCCTTTTGTTTTTAGAAAATTGAGAACAATTTTTCTTCTAAATACAATAGAATGATTTTCAACTGTTATGGCTTCCAAATGTGAAAATACAACAGCATTATCAATTGGACTACATTTTCAATTTTAATACATACAAACTTGGAAAGAGGGTCCTGCTAGGAAAAACTAATTACAACTTTACACTGTACTGCCACTAAAATTCTTCAGAGGCCTGAAACTGAAACACTGAATCTGCCTGCAATTTCTGGAGAGTTGAAAATCCTCTCAAAGAATTGAATGAGAAGGAAGCCTTCTGGCTGGAGTGGAGTGTTGCAACTTTCCGATGCTTGAAAGAATCAATCATCGGTTGCTGGTGTGAACGCTCACATTGCGTGCATTTTGTTTGGCTACAAAGCTTACAAAAATTACTTCATGTATATCACAAACTTTGATCTTCACTGTGCCTTTACTATGGTTCGGCCGGACACGCCATGCAACAGTTTGACAAACCCGAGAAAGCTTAACTTCCCATCAGTGTGTCTTATCCAGTCATTCAGAACAGTATGCAGTGGAATGGAAGGGCCAAGACCAAGTTCCTGAAACAAATTTCAGAAAGAAATGTTTTGATTACATGACGATTAATGGGAAATGAAAGAATAAGGAAATAGGTTAAGTGTATGAATATGCTCTCTCTCTCAGTGCCAATTTGCATACAATATAAACAACCAAGCGGCTAATGTTGTATATAAACAGCCGAATTTGATGGTTACAAGTTGTACTGTAATTAATTTGTTTGCAGAACTTTAGCTAAGGGCAACATAATATAACTTCCAAATGTGACATCAATCCATTAAGACTGAAATTCTCCATTATCTTAAAAACTTCCAACTTACCGAAGCGAGTTCATTGATAATGATAGCTCTGTTCCCATCCTTCTCAAAAAGCTCATATGCGCAGCGTGCATGCTGTTCCCAATTATCATGTGCCTCCAGCTGATGGACATTTAACGCAGCTGCACAAAATTCTTCAAATTCCATCTTTCTGTATTGAAGCGCATTTAGCTGTTGTCAAATGGAGATGAAAAAGTAAGCATTTTAGAAGGCTGCAACTCTATAAACCATCAAAATTCTGGACCAATAGTCAAACAATAGGGACAGAGTTCATACTGAGGCCAGAAAATCAGGGATGCGAGAATCATTCATTGTATCTGTTGCATTTCTCATCAGCGCCTGAACAGTAAAGAATGAATAACATAAAATAACTATTTGATATAGGGAGAGAGACTGAGAGGCAAATAAGACACCAACCATCTTTATATTCTCCAAGGATATGTAACCATTTTTGTTTGGCTCTAAGAGCGCAAACTGCTGCTTCAAATAGAAAAGTTCATCAATAGTCAAAGTCTTAGACAAGGCCTGCAAGACAGATGATCAAAAGTAAAATGGTTAACAGTTCACTAGAAAGTGAGCAAAAAATTAGAGCTTTTAAAATGAAAAAAATTCTTATGTGTTGAACAACTTCAATATTACAGTGCAAAATTGAACATAAAAATATTCTCATAGAGTCGAAATCTAAAGCCTACTTGAATTTCTATCATCTGCAAGGGGCATCCATCATGGAGGTTTATGGAAGTTCTCTGTCTACAACCCAAACATCAACCAAGAATTTGAATAATTTAGAACTTTAACCATAGTTAACATACATCATAATTGGGGAATAGAACTTATCATTTGTTGTCAGTCCCACAGTTTAAATATTCTACAAGTCAATTTATCCTACAGTCCAAGATATACTGTTTTCCTTCATGACCAATATAATGCTAAACAGAGTGTAGCCTTATCATAGGTAACTGTTTTGAGATGGACAAAGTAATGAGCAGACACATCATTTATCTACCACTTAATTTCAGAAATTGCCAGGAAATCATAACCTTATCATATGAATACAAGCAAAGAACAACTCAATATAGTCTTCACGGTCTACTTGGCCTTAGGTTTGCCAATGAAAAAAACATGTGAAAACAGTTTGATTACTGAGATAATCAAGGAAATTAGAAGTAACCAAAATTTCAAATCTCAAATTACCTAGAACCCAAAAAAACCAAAATCATACAAACAAACAAAAAAAATTATAATAACCATTCATTTGACCTTAGCATAAATATTGTACCATGAACTATCACACTTAAATACTTAATACTAGCAGAGAGTCCAGAGGGGATAAAAAGAAAGAAAGTTTTCTCATCATTAAGGCATATAACACACCTTTAAAGCAACCTTACGCAAAAAAGATGACCGCATATATGCCTTCATGAGTTTCAATATTGAAATATCAAGAGGTACTTTTACATTATTGTAACTTCGGATCCACGGATGACCTGTAAAACAAAAGACCATGGGTACTTTAGGGATAGTGATAATGGTTAACTTGATAAGATTAGAGAAATTGAGGCACTCACTCAAAGCTTGAGCAGCTGTCATCCGCCTCCGCGGGTCTTTGTTTAGTAAGCGCTTGACAAAGTCTTTTGCTTCTAAAGATAATGAAGGCCATGGTCCATCATCAAAACTTGGATCAGCTTTCAAGACTGCTCGAAAAATTCCAGACTCGGTCCGAGCCCAGAATGGACGACTTCCACAGAGGAGAATATAGGCTATCACACCTATACTCCACACATCAGCCTCTGTACCATAAGATCTATGTAGAACTTCAGGGGCCACATAATATGCACTTCCCACGATATCATTAAGCCTTTCATCTACAGACCAACAATATTATTACAAGCTCATTAAGAAATCAAAAAGCAAGCAGATTTAAATGAGACAAATTTGCTAGTGAGACGCAATTCAGTCAAAAAGAAGACAAACCTGGTCTGACAAAATCTGATAAGCCGAAATCTATGGCTTTCAACTGAGAGCTCTCATCCTTAGTAGTGTACAGAAAGTTCTGATACAAGAATGGCTGAATTTAGTTTACAAAATCGAAAAGATACAAAGAAATCAGAAGTTTTCTAGCCCGGTCTAATTATTGATTATAGCAAGAAAAGACAGCAGTGCTAAGTGATAAGGCCAGACATTAGGATTTAATGTGAAAATGACCAAGGCTTCTAGCAGAAGTAAACAAGAAACTGTTCCTTTTCCAGACATAGAATTTATAAGCAGAAGGATATACTAAAAAGCCTAAATTGAACCATCAGTGTTCAAATTGCCAAAGAGTTCATTCAATTAGGTCAATTTGCGAGTTCGGAAAACTGTCAATTGGATAACCCAACTATATCAGCATTACTGCCAATTATTGCTTATATATGCGAGTTTCCAGCATCATATAATGGTTTAGAAATAAGATAAATATGGAAATATGCTCACCTCTGGTTTAAGATCTCGGTGCACCACACCTTGGAGATGACAAAAAGCAACAACATTCAGAATCTGTACCAAGACAACCTTTGCATCTTCTTCGGAGTATTTCCCACCCCTACAATTATAAATTTATCATAGAATATCTAGTTAGAGACTATAACGATATGCAAATATTAAAGGCAGGATAAAACTTCCAATAATTTGAAAATACTGATTACTAGAGACATTACCTTGCGAGAATTCTATCCAAAAGCTCCCCTCCTTCACATAACCTGCGAATACAATTAAGTTTAATCATTTAAATTATTTCAGATATCTTTAAAACTAAAAATCAAGGAGTGAGAACTACTCGTAACAATCTTTTCCACAGAGTGAAAATTCCAGACAGACAAAGATTGCGTGTAGAATTAACAATTAACTTTGACTTGAAACAACAGTCCTCATGGAATTTGCCAAAAATATATAAGCTTCACCTTTAATTATTCTATGCAGCTGCAATATTAAGTTATAAACTAAATAATAGTGCATAAAGCAAACTCACTCCATAACAACATAGACATTATCAGTGTCTTCGAATGCTTCATAGAATTTGACTAGATTGTTATGTCCTGTCAAGGCTTGCAATATTTTCACCTCCCTTCTCACATCCTCAATCGCAATAGCTGTTGTCATCTGGCAATAAATAATAAATCACTATTAGAAAACATGTTAGAGGGAAAACAGCCCAAGAAAGATTGATATGAATATGATCTCCCAATACATCTTATAATAGTATAGGTGTTCAAAAAAAGGAGGTCCCAAACCTAAACAAACATAAGAAAATAAGTTTTTCAACTAAAGGTCCACAGGAGGTCACATTCAAGTAATGGCCATCACACTTGTGTCAGTCATATCGATCTACTTAACTGGAACTGCGACCTCCTCAACACCAATTGGAGTTTATCTAAACATAAATTTAGTTTGTTTTGATACTAGTCATTGCATATTAACACTTGAACTTTCAAGCACATAAGAAACAAAAGTCATAATTTTGACCTATTATAGCACTGAATTTGAAGTGACAATGTCTCACATTTATCTCAGCCATGACAGAAAAGTGCACCAAAACCAAAACAAAATTTATGAAAATTATATCACTTCTGCATCCTTCTTGTGAATTTGGATATGTCATATTAACTTACATTAGTTTAAGATTCCAACTTATCAAATTGTTGGTTACTGTTTCAGACTAAAAATCTTTCTTCATATATGATCTAAATAATTAGCAAAGCATCTCACATCCAATTCAGTTAGAGCACAAGATAATCTAGGAATCAAGATAATGTTTCTATCCTTGAGAAGAAGGTTCAAATCAACTAGAGTAGCTTAAGAATAATCATGGGTTCCCACACTTCAACCAAATATCCCAGACGGTGGTGTGTAACCAAATTTAACAACTTGACTCTCTGTTTTGGCAATAAGTATATGCTAGGTGGTGGAAATCAGTCGAATGCTTCTGCAAGCAACCTTCATTGTTTGTAGACCCATGTTAAGACCCCATCTGAGACCATGATATTTATAATAATTAAGTCCACTCAAAACCACTATTCTGTGACTTTCTTGATTCTCTGATCGAAACTGTCAAATCTAAGGTATTCACAAGCAAAATTTAGCAGTAGCTCCACCCCATTGACATACTATGCACTACCCATCAGCTTCCAGAAATACAACTTGCACTTTCGAGAGTAAGAATGATGTGATTTAGACCTAAATATACCCAATAAGATGTCCTAACCATTGAAGAAAAACATCCAACACGGGTGGGCCTGCAAGTCATCATTGACCAAGAAACACAATTAACAAACAAGATAGGTCATATTTTCCACCTGCACTCAATTCCAATCTCATGCCATGGAGACGTACAGAACTAAAATTTACACCTTATATTCTTCATCGAGAATAAGAATTTTTTTTCTTTACCTTTATAACACGAAAGCTCCATCTAGAAATGTAGCAGACACCTAAAAAGAATGTCCAATAATACCACCATCATGTCTCACAATATTCTCTAATAAACCTATTCAGAACCAAAATGTTCAGCCAACTTTTTTCTGAAGTTAATAAAAGAAACTCTACTTCTTCAACAAACTAAAAAATGAAAAAAAAAAAAAATATTAATCGCCGACTCTCCTGCGATTTGGCTAAAATACAAGCACAGCATTTCGAAATTCACAGGAAACCTCCCTGTAATTATGAAAATCACCTTATATATCACTTAATATCATCTTGATCTCTAAAGTTTTATAGAATATTTCAAAAACCCACTCAAATTAACAAAATTTAAAACAAATTATCAATTTAACAGGAAAATCAATCCTGAGAACATGATTAAAAAGAACCAAACCATATTTTTATATACATTAATGTATGTAAAAAAATATATTTTGTCTAAATTACTGAACTGACCTTGGATTTGGGAATGACTTTGACAGCGACTTGCTGGTCTTTGAATTCACCTTTCTTATACTTAGCAGAACAAGTATACCCAAAATGCCCTCGCCCAACTTCATCACCCATCTCTAACTTACTCCTCAGCTCCTTCGAGAACCCAAACCTCTTATCCAGCTCAACCACCTCCTCCTCCTCCTCCGGAATCGCCGCCGCTGCCGCCGTCTTCTTCGACTGCCGTCTCCTCAACACCGCTCGAATATGCTTCGCCGGAGACGGCGGCGGGAAAGGCCGTCGCATGAAGCGGAGGGGCGTCGAGTTGCCCTTCGGCGTCGCCCCCGCCGGAGACTTCTTGAGGAAGAAAGCAGGACTGGGAGTGTAGAAAGGGAAGAATGAAGATACGGAATTACTTTTTTTCTCCGACGATACGTCGTCCTTCAGAGGCGTCGGAGGGGCAGCATGGTCATCAGCAACGCCACGAGGAGCGTAGGGATTTGGTTTCGGAGGCTTCGAGGCACAGGCTCCCATTGCTTGATGTGTTGAAGAGAAAGCGTAAGTGCGTTTTATGTTAATGAGAATGGCGTTTTGAAACACAAAGAGAGAGAGAGAGAGAGAGAGGTGTGTTAGTAATGTGCCTGCGATTTGTTGAAGATGAAGAAGTGAGATAGCTGGACAGGCTTGGTGGACACGTGGCATGCACAGGATGAGGTCATTAAATATATTTTATTTTATTTTATTTGTTCTTGTTGTGAGGTAAAGTGCAAGGAGAGTGGGATTGTGACAGCGACTGGTTGAATTATTTATATACCAAATAATTCTTACAGTCTCTGATTAAGATATTGTCCGATAACGTTTCCAATTTTTTAACCATTTCATTAAACATTGTATTATAAATATAAAATAGTTCTTAAATTTTATTACAAGAATATTATTGAAGCTATTTTCCTTAATCAATACAGCTAAAAAGTTATTATCAATTTTGTGATGATCGGAATGTCCAGGTAAGTTTACCCACACCTCACCTAATCCCTGTACATGTATTTGTTTTAATATTTTTACATTATCTTATCTCTATCTGACCCAAAATACACCTATGTTTTCCTATTCCGAAAATTTTATTCTATTTTATTTAATTATTTTAAACCCTCTAAGTTTGTTAATTTAACTAAATACCCCTCTAAAAAAAGTTTAGAAATTTATAAAAACATCTCTAGCTACCCACATTTGCCAGATTTTGGCTACCACCGCCAGAAGGTAGTCAGAATCTGGTATAAGATCGCTGATCCGGTAGATCTGGCCGAAAAAGGTCAAATCTTTGGTTAGCTAGTTGTCAAGGACGGCCATATCTTTGGCTATCGTTGACGACCAAACGCAGCTAGATCTGGCCTTCATAGATTTGGCCTTTTCCAGCCAAATCTACTGTGGATCTGGCTAGAAAAGGTCATATCGGCGCACGACCAGCTAGATACAATCGGTCGTGCATCGATATGGCGACTCCGACAACCCTCCGGCGGTTGTGGTTGGCTGCTAGTATTTAATGGGTGGGTGAGAGTGTTTTTATTAATTTTCAATGTTTTATTACAGGGGTGTTTAGTAAATTAATAAACCTAACGGGGTGTTTTTGTTAATTTTTAAATCTTACCTCGTAATAACCACCTAACTCTTACTTTTTCAAAAATCATATCTAAAATATTAAAACAAATGCACCGCCATTCTTAAGTTAATGATCAGATAAACCCTCCAATAGTTATCTTATTAGTAAATGAAAAGAATAAAATTCAAGATTTTTTGAGTAAAATATTCAAGAGTCTCTATCGCCACCCCCTGACCGCCTAGAGGTGGTTAAACCTAAAAAATTATTGACTTGTTGATAAGAATATATTGTATTAATAAAGAAAAAGAGAAAAAATATATTTGTTTTTAATTTAAGAATTTAAAATAATTGAAGAATTAAAATAAATTTTTTAAATGTAATTAATTACAAATTCACACATAAATGTTTTATCAACGTTACATGTAAGTTTAATGTTTTGCAAGGTAAATTATATGAAAATCATTTTACAAATTTAACGTATTTAACATTATTCAAAATTCCATATTATATTATCATAAATAAAACATATAAATAATAATTTTGAATAACGTTTTTTTATTGATTTAATTTAGTATGAATAATTATTAGATAATAATTATGGTAGATATAATAAAACACATTTATTATAATGCACGTAAGCCGGTATCTTTCACGTGAACTGGAGTCCCAACATTTATTAATGAATAAAAATTAAAAAAAAAAATCCTCTTAAATTTAAAACTCCGTCGTTTTATGACTGTCTTACTCTCACCTTTCGGTTAATCTTGACCTTCCATTTTAATTAATTTATTTTATTTTAATCACTTTAATTATTTTATTAAAATAATTATGAAAAATATGAAATGCAAGGATTAGGTAAAAAATAATCTTTAATTTTTGGCTTAATTAATGTTATTAGGTATTAATTAATTCAATAATTCGTGATTTAAGAAAGAGCAAACAACTTTTTCCCACCCAAGGTTTGCCTTAAGGGCTTCTCACCCAAAGAATTTCAAAATACTACTTTTCCACCCAAAGTTAATATTTTGTTACTACCCAAAACCGATTTCAACCTCGAAAATTCTCTCCATCACCACCATTAAACATTCACTCTACTCTCTACAAAACCTCTCTTACACACTTGATTTTTAACCAATTGCCGACTATTGCAAGGCTAAAATTTCCTATTCTTAGTTGATTTTCGACTGATTCTGACGACAAATATTTAATTTATCACTATCATTTGATCCATCGACTCCACTCTATAAAACTTCTCTTACCTTAACTTCTTGTAACTCGTCAAACGTCGATTAAGAAAGTGAAGTGTATTTTGAATATTAATATAATATAAAATTTGGGTAAAAAAGTGGTATTTTGAAACTTTCAGGTATAAAAAATCATTGATGCAAACCTTGGGTGGGAGTCGTTTACTGTTTAAGAAATAATAACACGAGGGCCGGCGGATCAGCCACCATCGTCAGTGAAATCACTTTAAATATTTTTATTTTTATTTATTTAATTTATGAAACCCACTTGTTATTTTTTCTAATGGGTTGTTTTAAATCAAAATCTGAAATTAATTATAGATAAGACATATATAATTTAGCTTTAATGCTTTGATCTTGACTTTGGGTTTTCTTAACGTATTGAGCTACTTTGATAGCTACCAAAAACCAAAATTCAAAAATATTTTTTTTTTTTTAATTTTAATCAAACACCTATAAAAATTTAATTTGGAAACTAAGCCTTTATTATGTTTGTTGCACGTAACATCATAATTAATATTATGTACTTTTTTTCATAATTTATTTCGTCCGTTTATTTGTGCCGACGATTTTAAAATCTATTAAAGATATATTAAATACACTTTATTTGAAAGTTTTATATATGCTACGAGTTGTATTTGTCATGTATTGTCAATTCAGTAAGGTTTTATGGAGCGAATAATTTCTCTTTTGGCCAAGAGATATCTTACGATATGGACTTTATGATTAAAGCTAAAGATCTCGTTATTTTCCTATTTGAGTCATTTCCAATTTAATCTTATAACGAGTATTATACAAACCCAATTATAATATATTTTAGGGATCCGAAAGAAAATCCCGAGAGAGAAACTAAGATAGAGACAGAGAAAAGAGAAAACTCAAGAGGGAGAACTCTTTGTAACTTAGAATAACTATTTATAACTCAGCTCGTTAATGCGCTCAATAACATAATAGTGGACGTAGGTTTTACATTATAAACAGTCGAACCACTTTTAAAAGTATTTCTTATTCTTTGTTGTTTATGATTATTATTGCACATTCATCATCATATTACCCCTATCATTGATTTGTTAGGACTACGCATTCATCATACGTGATTCTATCGTTGTCAATCACGTACCTCTGGTTGATACAATTTTCGGTATAAACAATGTGATTGAACTCCCTTCTCCTTTGAATTAGCTTTTAGAAATTGGTTCTACCCAAACCCATTTATCTGAGAACAGTATCATTTTTTGACAATTATATTTAATTGACAAAGGAGCTATAATTAATTAAAAAAAAGAGATGGGTTTTTTAATTAGTATGGTCCCCTTAATTATTATTAATTAATATAATTTGGTCAAACAAGTTCCTTAAATTAGCATTAAATGGTCTTTCTGTTTAGTGTCTCAAGAAATTCTTGCTTTATTCGCCATGTTTCTCTCTATCAAGAAACTTTGACAATATTCTGCACTTGCCCTATTTTTAAGTAAATATTGTACTCATTAAATGGTTAAATTTATGGTTGATTTGTTTTAATTATTAAAAAAATAAAAATAAATTAATTAATTATTCATCACTTTTGCAAATTGCAGGCCTGAATATTTTGTTCCTTTAATGGTGATCAAAATTATTAAAATTTGTATGTGGAAACATTTGACTTCCATGGCTTCATCATTTTGTCCACTAATATTTTCACTATTGGGCTATAATCATAAAATTAAAAGTGCTCTCATTTGTTAACAAAAATAGTGATTATAATTCTTTACTGTTGTGACACGAAGTCTCGTATCGCTCCCGTGCAAGGATAGTTGAGTGTTTAAATATGATTAATAGGGTTATACTAGCCCTGTAATGTCAAAGTAGACGATATTTATTGAACTGTTTATAAAATTTACTAATCATGGAATTAAAAAATAATAATAATAATAAGTAAACATTTTTTTCCCACCCAAGGTTTGTCATAACGATACTTTCCACTCAAAAAGTTTCAAAATATAACTTTCTTACCCAAAGTTAATATTTCATTACTACCCAAAGCCGATTATGACGGCGAAAATTCTTTCCCTCACTACCATTTTAACCTCCGTTTCCTCTCTACAAAACCCTCTTACTCCAACACCTGATTTCTCATAATTGTTGGCCACCACAAACTAGGGTTTCCTGTTCTTAGCTGATTTTCGGCTGATTCCGATGACGAATATTCAATATATTACCACTTTCGATCCACCAGTCTCCACTCTACAAAAATTTTCTTACCTTGCCTCCTAGTAACTTGTCGAACGTCGGTAGAGAAAGTGAGAGTATTTTGGATAAACAGAATTACACTTGGTTGGGACAATAGTATTTTGAAACTTTTGGGTAGAAAAGTGTCATATGGCAAACATTGAGTGGGAAACAGGCCCCCCCCCCCCCCCCCCCAAAAAAAAAAAAAAAAAAAAAACCGATGAAAGAATGAGATTCAAAGCGGGGGAGAGTCATATTCCCACCCAAGGTTTGACGAAACAACACTTTCCCATCCTTAAAGTTTCAAAATGACACTTTCCCACCCTTCATTAGGTTCTCTTAAGTTTTCTGTTAATATTTTACTGAAAAAACAAAAATACCCTTAAATATTTGACTTTATAAATTTTTTATTCTTTTTTAATTAGCCAAAAAGTCAAATATCAAAAAGTTAAAAAAGAAAAAATAGTTAACCTCACCTAAAAAATTAGGAGTAATATTATGAAACTGTTTAAAGTTAAACGACCTAAATATTTATTTATTTATTTATAATGTCATCAATATCCTATCACTATTATTCAATAATCTA